CACAGGGGCATTGGGAATTTCAGACCATGCCATTTGGTGTCGTCAATGGACCAGCTTGTTTCCAGAGGCTGATGAACTACGTTCTAACAGGACTTCATTGGACACACTGTCTGGTGTATTTAGATGATATCATCATCTTCTCAAGAACATTTGAAGAGCACATGGATCGACTGAAAACTGTTCTTAGCAGACTCAGGAAGGCAGGCTTAACGTTGAAACCCCGCAAGTGTCAGTGGGTACAAAGAAGCGTCAAATATCTTGGACACATCATTTCAGAGGATGGAATACGACCTGATTCAGCAAAGATCAAGGCAGTAGAAGACTTTCCAGCTCCTACAAGCAGGACATTAGTAAAGAAGTTCCTTGGTATGACTTCCTACTACAGACGTTTTGTGCCCAATTATGCAAGCATCGTGAAGCCACTTACACAACTGACAAAAACACGTGGACAGCCCAAGATATTCCAGTGGAATAAAGAGGCGCAAAGAGCATTTGAGCATCTGAAAATGTCCTTGCTTACCGAACCTGTCCTTCGATTACCAGATTTTGATCGAAATTTTGTGGTTTATACTGATGCAAGTGACTATGGCCTGGGAGCAGTGTTGGCGCAAAACTTTGTCGATGGCGAAGCAGTGGTAGCATATGCAAGCAGACAGCTGTCAAGTAGTGAAAGGAATTATTCAACGATTCAGAAAGAATGCTTGGCGATCGTATGGGCGTTACAGTATTTCCACCATTATCTGTTCGGAAGAACATTTGTTATTGTGACGGACCACCGACCCCTCAAATGGTTGCAAACAATGAAGCCAAAGAGTGCTCAGATGGAAAGATGGATGTGTGACCTGCAAGCCTATTCTTTTGAGGTGAAACACAGACCTGGAAAATGCAATGGTAACGCTGACTTCTTATCGAGATGTCCTGTTGAAGAAACGAAGATGGAAGTTGCAGTCATTTCAGAAAAAGATGTCATGAGCAGCCAACAAGCAGACGAAGAGTGTGCAGAAATGATGTATCGTTTACGTGATGGCAACAATCACCCACAAGAAGACAGGAGTGAGCCAGAAGGACACAAGAATCAATATGTCATTGAAGACGGCGTACTGTACCATTTGTGGACTCCTGTTCGGAAGGGGAAACAGTTACGAGTGAGAAAACAGCTGGTTGTGCCAAAATCGGAAAAAGGGAAGATTCTTGTCCAAAACCACGAGGAAGCTGCACATCCAAGATTTCAGAGAATGTTTGCAAGAATAAGGCAGGCCTACTTCTGGAAAAGTATGAAGAGGGACATCAGTAGACATTTACAGAATTGCTCACTCTGTGCACAAAGAAACGAACCAAAGAACAGAGCGCATGCACCACTGAAACCAATTGAAGTATTTGGACCACTGGAACTTGTTGGAATCGATTATGTTGGACCGCTACCTGTAACAACAAGTGGTAACAGGTATGTCCTAACTATGCAAGACCAATTCTCAAGATGGCCAGCTGCTTATGCCGTTCCAGAAATAAGTGCCGAGACGACAGTAAAATGTATCGAAAGGTTTGCAGGGGACTATGGCTACCCAGGTACAATTTTATCTGATCGTGGGTCAAATTTCATGTCATCTACATTTAAAAGAGCTTGTAAGAAGATGGGAGTTCGGTTGAAAAACACCTCCCCATATCGGCCATAATGTAATGGCATGACAGAGAGGTTCAATGGGACCCTGAAAACTGCATTGGCAATGTATACAAACAGCAAGAAAGATGACTGGGACGATCATTTAAGAGACATTGTGTTGGCTTATAGGACAACCCCACATTCGATTACTAAAGAAACACCTGCGTTCCTAATGACCGGCAGGGAATTCAACGTGGCGCCAGGAGCATTGAAACCTCCAACTCGGATGTATTCCACCGATTTTGTAAATGAACGGGAAAATGCACTGAGAGAAGCATATACTCTGGTCAGAGAGCTGAATCATAAAGAAAAAGAGCGACAGAAAACTGTTCATGATAAAAGAGTCACAGCTGAAGATCACCAGTATTCAGTTGGCGATATGGTGTATTTAAAGAACCACGATAAAAGGCAAAGTACGGGTTTAAATCTGCAACATTGGCTTGGACCATATAAAATACAACGTGTCATATCAAGCGAGAATGTTGAGTTAGATTTGAAGGATTCCAGAAGAAACAGGATTGTTCACGTGGATCAACTGAAAAGGTGCACAATGGAGCAGATGGACAAGGTCAAAGACAGAGTCAGAACGGTCTTGGACAAGATGAGACAGAGAAACCAAAAGGGAAGATTGGAAACAAAGTTTTTCGTTGAGCTAGATGATGGTGAGACCTTATGGGTACCTTCAGAAAGTGTAGCAGACCGATTGATCGAGGAATTTGAACAGTCTTTGAATGTGAAGAAATAGTGACAAACACATTTATCTTATATTTTTAGATTAAAACCATGTACTATGTTGTTTAATCTAAGGGGGGCGTGTGTAATGTGTTTACTTTTAGCGCTGATGCAATGCTTTTATGCAGGCTTGCTGTAATTAGATATTTTTAGGATTGACTGGACTGTTGACAATAGACGCTGTGGCCACAGCAACAAAACGAGATAACGCTGCTTGATTTTACGTAATTCCTTTGAAATATCTTGTAATCGTCACGGTTGTTAAGAAAACTGTTTATCGTATCTAAGCATTCTATTTTGGACATGTAAACCTTAACTTGTATAAAAGGGGGAGCTGAAGATGCAGAGACAGATGTGAGCGGGGAGCTCTGAGGCCGGTCAGAAGGGTATTTTCTGAGAACGTTGGCTTGAGTCCCTTTACCTTATTTACATTAGTATTTAATATTATACTTTCACATTGATAACTTCAGTATTTTATCTTCTCTATATTTTGTGTTACATTCCTGAAACTACTGGGCGTGGTTGGGTGTGACATATATCGTATCTGTAGAGGCATTATGATGACACATTGCCAGCAGTGCATGTTTGTTAATCGCATTTCATAACCTATACCGCTGCTTTCAAATGTGAATTCCGAAAATCAAACACTGAGATTTTGACTATAGCTCGAGCTACAGTTGCTATAGTCTGGATCCGCTCCTGAATACAACAGCTTCTTGTTATTCACATCGATATGCACTTTGAACCAAAAGTCATTCTTCCTTTCTCACCTCCGCCCCTCCCAATTTTGTCCTAATAATCAGTAAGCAGTTTTTTTAAGATCATCGAATTCTCTGTTCTGAGGGTCATAGTAATTTGTTAAATTTTAGTCTGGGAGATGAATCTTTAGCCATTCTAGAAGGCTGAATTTCAAAAATTTTCTTTCGCGTCGCACCCAACGATGGTGGGTCCTCCTAAAATCTGGAATTCACTCTCGGAATCAATAAAGACAGCAATTTGATCAAAACTTGGTTCCTTGAAAACAGTAGCCTGCGTGCAGACTTTACTAACCGTTGCGAAGGAGAGCCATGGCTCTCCTTCGCAACGGATAGTAAATTCTGCACACAGGCTATGAAAACAGGTGCGCATGCTCGTTTTGCAGTAAATGAACTGTCTTATGCAATCCTTGACACTATTGTAAAAACTAACTTTAAATAATCTACAATACAATACAATACAATCACTAAATTTGATTCTCAGCTCCGCTCCCACGCTAACGACCTCTTGAAATAACTTTCGCCGAAAAAAAAGTTTGTCTTCAGGTTTCTTCAAAAATACCGACATTTGTAAAAGAAAACCCATTTACGAAAGGTCAGCCGCAGCCGGCCCTTGCACGTGACAGGGACGGGATCCACGCTAGGCCTTCGGGGGGAAACTACACTGATCTATAAAAAGTCTTGAACGAGCTTCTAATGTGACCAGAGTGTCGCCGTTCGAGAAGGGGGCCCCAGAACAGCCCATGCGAGGAGACGGCCTTCTCTGTCACCCCTAGCAATGTTTTCAGCTGCTCTGGCCTTTTTCAGCAATCAGTAACACAGCATTGCAGCATTGCAGCCAGTGGCGAAGCGAGAGGTCATGCAGGTCATGCAAAGCATGACCAAAAAGATTTCTAGAAAATTATTTTTTACTCTAGGACCAAAAGCTCTAAAAAGTTTAGATGGGGGTTTTTTAACATTGAAAGTTCTCCAAAATCAAACAAAAATTATTCTTTGCGTACTTTTATGTAACTCCGTAGGCGCAAACGTAGGGTTTCTACATTTGAAACTCAATAAAGCTCAAGGGTTTCCAATTTAGTCATGCAAATATCACAGGGATCCCAATTTAGTCATGCACTTTCAAATGTGCATGACTCAAACCCTATGTTTAGTCATGCAAAACCACGCGCAACAATGGAAACAGCCCTGAAAACATGATGATTATCACGCTTTAGTCATGCACTTTTGGAATGGCATGACCATGACCTTGATCGCATGATCGCATCGCTTCCCTGTTCGAGTTCAAAAAGTGAGACTGAAGAGGAAGTATGCTAGTTCACGAGGAAAGGGATTTCGTGAAATGTTACCCTGCAAGTAATATAGCAGCAACGAAATGTGGAAAAATAACAGTTCCATGGTTTTAAAGGATTGATGTAGCAAAATAAAAGTTGGCAGTGGAACAGATTCTTCCTGTTGTGGACTATGTTTGCTAACACATATATTTAGGCAGTGGCGGATCCAGACTACCGCCATTACCGCTCGAGCGGTAGTCAGATTATTTAAAAAATTATAGAAACAAGGATCATTTTCATGTTTATCCTACTACTTTAATTAAACCATATTTAATTATTGAAAATATTTGATCGCGCTGCAAACCAAGCCTTTCTTCCTAGGAACATGCCTGAAATTTCCACAGAGACAGAAATATTTTTTAATGCTTATCGCTATGGAAATTGCGTGCCAATTGCCGAGCCACATGTTTGCAAATAGAAGGCTAGCATGGGGGGATGATGAAATCATAGCTTGCTAGCTAGGGGGGTTGAGTCGGTGTAGAGCGGATTCGAGCTGCACTGAGCGGTAGTCGCCTGCCTAAACCAATCAAATCGTCAGAAATCACTGCCAACCTGGGGGGATGCATACAAATTTTGTTGACAACCAATGAACAACCGAGTTGACTACCGCTCAGATGGGGGGTTGAGTAGTACTGCCGCTCAAAGCGGCTCAAACGTTACAGAAAGATGGGGGGATGCCTAAATATTCTGCAAACTGTAACTTCAAAGCCGATGTGACCCATTATTTTGTACAATACACAACTAATCGTAGGAATATATTTTAAAAGAACATTAAGACTCATATTCTAAGATTTATTCTAAAATTCAGAAATATTCTAGAATTTAAGAAGGCATCAGGATTAAAAGTCAGGCCCACAATATTCGCCAAAAGTATGATTCTTTGTTTAACAAAAGTTGCTCTCAATAATTTCAAATTTTATCTAGCTTTTTAAACTTGTAATTTCCAACAGGTCTGATTTTCATAAGTAATTGTCCGACTAAATGTGAGTTTTAGGCGGCACTTCAAAATTTATCTTTTTTTCTAATTCTATGGTGTTCCTCGTCTCAATGCCGTAATTTTTATAGAATATCCATCCTCAGAATATTGAATAAGATTATTTATTTCTTCTCAAGCTTGTTGTAAGGATACATGAAATTTCAGTAAAGCACAGCTTGTCTCTTGAAAATGGTCTACATAAGAAATTATAGAAAGCAATAATCATTTTAGAAAACCGGGTGTGACCAAGAAATGGGTGCGGTCTAAAGGGTGTGGTCATCCCTCTATCTCATTTCGGCGGTAGTCAGATTTTTGGCTGGATCCGCCACTGTTAGGCCTGTGGGATATGACATGCACGAACTAGGCCTACGGCGCCTGATAATAAGGCAGGCAACGCTCATATTGCAAGAAAAAAAATGAAACAAACTGCCTGGTTTTAATATCATTATATTGCTGTACAGATTATTGGCAAGCCCAAAGTATTCCATGCTTTGATAATGGAATGGCTAGTGGACTTACATGCTAAATTTCCATTGAAATATTCAGAATGAGTGTCTCTAGAACTTGTTGTTAGTAGAAGAAACACAAATGCTTCATTGTTGTTGCTTTTTAGAGACATGCAATGCAAGTTTGAGATACAACGAGGCATGAAATTAGTGTTGTCTTAACCTTTTCAGTATTTATCTTATAATGGCCTTTTTTGTTATGATGTTTGTGAGATGGGAGTATTGAGATTGTTTCAGAGGAGAACTCTCCATTTTCTGATTATAATCTGTTTTGATAAATTAAGAATAATGAATTAAAAAAAATGAGGTGTAGCATGAACATAGACTAGGGGGCATTAATTTTTTTATTTGTAAAATTACACTATTTGTACTTATAAATACAATAGTTCTAAGTAAGGAATTATTGAAGGGTCATCAAAAGTGTATTTATCTTGTCAGGGCAAAAATGTGTTTATCTTATCTTTGTCGAAATGTGTTTATCTGCTCTTGAAATAGTAAATATTTATAAATTGAATGTCAAAGTTTTCAAGCAAGTTAACATTAAAAACAAGTTAACATTTTAATTTCAGAATTTAAAAACATGTTTAGCACCTAAAGCCAAAGCTTCATCAAAACATGTCTCAAAAAAGTTCTGAAAATTATTCTTTTGCAAATTTTTAAAAGTTTTATGCCCACCTAAGGCTTTTCTGGGTATTTTCACAATCAGGGGCGGATACAAACAAAACTTTAACATTCTCAAAACCCATTATAACCGACCGACCACGCCCTTTTCCCGGAAACGCCCAAGAAATTGTTTTCTGTCTTTTATGGATGCAATGATTAAAATTATTGAAATTTTAAGAGGAGGAATAGAAACAAACAATATGAAGTGGCAGACACCCAGGGGGATGAAGGGAGGTAGTTGTCCCCCAACATTTTGGGAAGACAGAGGTCTTTTATTCTAAAAAGAATGGACAAATGTGATGTCATCTTATCAAAAAACTAGGCTTGCCCCCTCATATTATTGCCCAAAAAAAACAATGATGCAACATTAAAGAATTGCTTAATAAGCATAGCAACACTAGTAATTGAAAATTGGGTAATGCAGGGAAAAATAACACAAAGATCAAGACAAAATGTTTGTGGCAAATTGTGCTTGGTTTTCTAATGGTTTAACATGTGGAATTTTAAAGAAAGAAGTGTAGTTTTGTGGACATTCAAATTATTGATAAAAATTTAAGGACACAAGATTCATCATAGAAGAGAATTATTAACGAAAGTTGACCAATGAAATTACTAAAAATGCAGGCACTTTTCAGAGCATACAAGCCACAGAAACTTAGACAAAGAATTGGGTAAAAACCTTTTCTAGTAACAAAAATAGACTGCTAAGGCTAGTCAACTTCTTTCTGGATGCTAACTCTCTTAAATGCATCATATCTTTTGGCATATGATAATTGCACTGC